TCATATAGTTCCTTATCTTACATGTTTTATTTTATTCTTTTATGTATTTTTTCATGATGAAGGTATGTTTCTTCATACCTTCTGTCTAAAAAAAATAACAACAACCATTAAAATGTAATTGTCTCACGTGCCGCGAGCGAGCAAGAGCCATAATGGAATAGAGAGGGAAACGGCCATGCAGTCTAGCCCTTGGGATATGGGAATTTCACCAAAAATGAATTAATCGGAAATTGGTTTCCCGAGAAGTCCGCAAACTTTTATTCGGCGCTGTCAAGAAATGAATGGCGTCCCTGGTGGAGGTGCGTTTCATCCCAGTCGACGAAAGTGATTTTGTAAACAAAGCTAATGGTTTTATCTGGAGAGATTATTCCTAATGGGAGCTAGATTCCACAATTTCGTTGGAATTGACTGATTTGCTAGATGATATATCAATTTTTTAGGAGGAATTGAAGTCCTTGGACAGCGATCCTAATCATGAAATTTCAATTTCGGTACTGGAACCTCGGCAGGAAGAAACAAACAACAGCTAGAGAGAGGCAAACAGAGGAGTGTGAATAATCGTCGCACAAAACAATCAAAGCAGCCAAATTAACCTCAATTCCAGTAAAGTGACGTCGACGCACAATTCGAACAAAAACACAAAATGCAAGCAAATCACAGCAGAAATCAAAACAGGAAAGCAGCAGAGGTGCGACTAGAAGGTAAACTTCGTCCATGTGTTAGAACTTCGTATCAATAAGTCATGAAAAATTTGGAAACCAATCGAAAGGTAAAGGCTGTTAATCGAAGAAATACTCAACGCTCAGAAAATTGTATCTGGAACTTGTTCCTCCAGTTGCAGCTAGTGGACGTAAACAAAATCCATCAAGTTCATTTGTCATTCGAGGTTGTGGGCCCAGCTTGTCAAAACATTGCAGGAAACCATCACATTCGCGGAAAAAAGAAAATCGCTTTTAGCTATTCAGATCCAGAAGGCACTTTGGATAAATTAAACAACCTAAAACCCTTATTTAGCCGCAACAAAGAGCGTTTACAACCCTGCCGACCAGAAACAAAACCACAGAAAAAAGCTTCTTAAATCAAAACTTAGAATCCTCCAGAGCATAATCTACCCGCCAGAAGGAAAAAAGTTAACGGAACAAGAAGCATCAATTTAATCATTTTAGTTAATTCTTTGACTTCCGTCTGTTTCTTTTCATAAGCGGACTTCTTCTCACGGCCTTCTCGCGAGGGAAACAGATCGAATTTGAGTCCTCTTCGGACAAATCATTGTCCTACGCTTGCGGGTAGGAACGCTAACTTCAATTTCTTGAACTGAAATCACAGGTAGCCCAAGCTCACTATGAGAGCCCTGAACAACATTATGCTACTTAGCTAATTAATTATTCATACGACAACAGTTATAAGACGTTGTATGAGAATTATCCAATTTCTCCATAACTGAGCGAAACGTACATTAAATTTTTCCTTTTAGTATTTTTTGTGTTTATTTGTGTGTTGACTGCGTTTCAGGCCTCTTAGGATGACAAGAACCCGAAAATAACGCTACCCATCAAGCTAATTAATTATTCATACAGCAAGAAAATTATAAGACGTTGTATGGAGAAATATTCTTGCTCACTAAATTAGAAAAATGTACATTGAATATCGCTTTGAAGCTTACCTTTAGCGTCTTCTCGTTTTTCTTTGTGTTCTGACTGCATTTCAGACCTAGGCACTGTTTACTGCCTTTATTTGAGCGACAGTTTTTCACCCAAATGAATTTCTGTAGATTATCTCATGAATTTTGTCAAACCGATTTTGAGCCGCAGCCTTGTTCCTTCAGCAACTGATGTAGTATTCTTCCAACTCGTGGAATTTGGCGCCAGTTAGTTCCATAGCCACGAAGTCGTCACCTACTTTGTTCGTTAATAGAAAGATTGAGATTCACGTTTACGCCAATTTGTACCACGTGACCAAATTTTCCGCTTAATTGTCGTGTACTGTTTACTACTTCTACTCCAAAATAATTAGTTTCACGCCAGTTTTATCCCGGTAAGAATTGTTCTGGACAGTTTCTATCTGCTTATTTTCTATTCTGAGAAATTCTCAACTTAAATCTGACGTTTGCCGTTCGCCGTGAACGTGAATCTTAATCTCTCTTCTTTATGTACAGCAGCGATACCCGAATGAGCAAATATAGTGACTTTCCGTCCCAAACATCCTTAAGACCAAAATCTGCAATTTACACTCTTACGCGAGACTTCGAGCATACCCGTCACTTTTTTACGGGAGTCCCCCCGGGAAACAAAATCAGACAAAATGAGGAGATGTATATGATTCTTGCAGTTTAATATTTTTGATAAGCCTGATACAATCTTGGACCATTACAGTCAGTCCTGTTTGGAATGTGATACGTATACATCATAGTCTCAATCACATTATCTCCAGCCGTTGAAGTGTTCTTCAATGACTTCGTGGACTGGTCTCTCAAGTGCAATCTCTTTCTCACGAGCAATCTCTGTTGGATGTTTGGAACATTTTCCAGCAGAGGGACCAGTGACCCTAACAGAAAAACGAAATATACAAAAACTGAGAACACTGTCATGCAACACATCAAGGAACCAATTTCATGTTATTAAAATAAATGAAAGTACCGTATTTACTCGATAACCCGGGGGAGGTACTCCCTATTGGCCTTCACCGGGAGGCTCCGCCCGAAAGGAATATCTCTACCAGGGGCACCCACCGACTGTTTTCTATAAAATATCTGTTCGGATAAGCAAATATTGCCTAGGATTTTCTATTAACTGCTAAAAATTTCTAGATGACCGTTCTATTCATGTACAATTTCCGAAGCTCATCTAATAGATTCCCTGCGATTTTTGTAAGTTTAATATTTTCACATTTCACTCCCCAGGTTAGGCTATTTTTCGTAGAAAAAAGGAAGCTAAAATTTTCGGATTCAAAAATGTGATGGAGAGAAGAATCAGCAAAATTATCACTTTCGTGATACGTTAAATTGCATCTAAAACTTTCGGGATAATAAT